TTTAGCAAAGCAGAGCAAATAAATGCCCTCTACCTCCAAACCTCTGCCAAATTCCATGATAGGCTTTCCAAAAAGGGGCGGTGTCCTCATGTGATCAGATCTCAAGGGGACCACAGGGTCCAGTGAGGGAGCCCCTGAAGTGCGAGCAGGGGAGGCCCAGAGACCGCCTGGGAAGACCACGCGCTCATCTCCAGGCGGTGGGACGGTCTCTAGAAGCATGTTGAAGGTTTTGAGCTGTGAAGTGGCTGCACAGGGTCCCGTGGGATGTGACAGTGGTGCTTGGGCCTGGCTTCCTTCTACCTCAGGAACCAAAGATGTGCTGAAAATTGGGTTTCACTGCCTACAAAAGAGTTTAAAAGCAAGGACGAGCAGGATCCTGCATCACCACCCCAGGCACACAGAAGAGGCTCTGTGGCCAGCAGTTAGTGGCAGGACTGCCAGCTCTGCCCCTGACCTGCTGTGACCTCACGGAAACTTCGCCAGCCTTAGTTCCTCGCCTTCAAAACGGGACAGGCCTGAGGCAAGCATTAGACAGGATGCAGGTAGAAGGTTCAGCCCAGGCACTGCGCATCGGGAACTGCCACTCTCGCCCTTCTACACTTGGGAGATTCAGGGCCACGACCTTACCCGGGGTCACGCCGCTAGCTGGCAGCAACACCAAGGTCTGGCCTCAGCCACCTGGCTCTGAGCTGGAGCCCTGCGCTCGTGTCTGAAGCTGGCCAGCCTGGCCCTGGCCTGTGCAGGGGGTGGCGGGCTTCCTCTGCTGGGTGCTCGTGGCTCCCATGACTGTAAAGCAAGGCCAGCATTCTTCGGTCCTGAAGATGTGGTGGGGTCTGGAGCAGGCCCGGGGCGAAGGGGGCGCCCCAACTGCACAGGAGCCCACCTGGGTAAGTGAAGGTGAGGGTGGAAACAGGCCCCCAGAAATCCGGGGCACCTCCCATGCTGAACAGTCTGACACAGACTCTCCATGTGGAGTGAAGAGACGAGAAAAGCTCCGCTGGTCAACCCCAGCCGCCCTCAAGGCGCCAAGCTGCCCTCCTGCCCGGCGGTCAGCGTCGCTGGCAGAAGTGCAGCGGGGGCAGCGCAGGCCAGAGAGGAGACGGCTCAAGACAGAAGACACGACACATGGGTGGGAAGTCGGGCTCTGGGGGCACGTGAGTCTCCCATTCCAGTTGTCCACAAAACAATGAAAAACTCCTGCATGTGTTCAGTGGCCACTGGGACTAAAGAGAAACACTGTCATCAGTCACTGACCTTCAGGGGCTCCAAGGTGACGCCACGGTTTCTGGAGTCCTGGACATCAGGGCTGCACGGAGGCTGGACTGCGCTCTGGCTCCACTTCCTGGCAGAGGGAAAGTGCTGTCAAGAACCCAGTCCTACCGCTGAACAGTGGCCATGACCCTGACTTGGTGGTCGGACCCCAGCCCAGGTAGGGACCTTGTCACCCCTTGTAGCTCCCCAGGTGCCCCGCTGCCAACAACAGGCTGCCCAGTGGCATCCAGGGCAGTCCACTTCTCTGCTCCACAGCTGGCGGTTGCTAGAAAGATCTTATTTTGAACTGGAATCTACCTCCCACTGGCATCTGCCCCAGAGGAGACACCCTAGACGTAGGTGAGACAGTCTCGAAAACTCACTGAAGCGCAGAGAAGACGAGAACAGACCCATGAGGGTCAGGTCTTTCCTGCTCTTGGCTAAAAGCTGCCAGGCCTGTCGGCTCTCTGGCCACACTTCGTCAGCCTTGCCCTCAGGATCTTCCCTGACGCCAGTGCAGTCTAGATGTCCAGAATTAAGCAAGCCTCGTGAATGGCGCCCGTGCTGGCATCCGCCCGGCCCTCACCTTGCACGGGCAGCACCCAGTGCCCGGCCAGGACAGACGGCCCGCAGTGACGGCGCTGCCAGCTCACATCCCTTAGGTTTCTCCCACGATGCCGACCACAGGAAGCCGCTCACCAGTGGGCGAGGCGGGCAGGGGAGGGGGCTGGGTTAGTGACCACTTGGCACCTTTTCCTAGGCAGGCCTGTGCGGCGGGGAGGCTCTGGCTTCTCTGTCTCGGGTGAGGGCTGTCTGTTGGAACACGCTCCTCCTTCTGGCCCCGGCTCTTCGGAGTCCCTTTCCAGATACTTCAGCCAGCGGTTCTTTGAGGGCTGGGGTTTCTCCTACAGGATTGGGAAGTTAGTTTATCCTCAGAGTTGGAAAGCAGGCACCTTTACTCAAATTCCCCAGCCCGACTCTGAGGCCTGAGGGTCTCAGGACCCACGGCTACTGTGTGACCAGGAAAGGAATTTGGTTGGAAGGTAATGGGAGACGGGTGTCTTGGACGGAGCACCCTGGCACACCCCTTGGGGGAGCTGCAGGGCACAACTTATCAAGAAGTTTGCAAGTGTGCACACTCCCTGGCCCAGTAGTTCCAAATGAAGACAAAGGCACAAAGATGCTCATCAAAGTCTTACAAAGCAAACAGTCATAGCAGCAAAAGTTTGGGAACAATCTAAATGCCCAATAAGGGAATAACTATTGGCACATCCATTCCATTCTGTATGTACTTTTTAAAAATGAAAATCATTGAAAACTGCATAGGAACATAGAAGAATTAATGACACAAGTAAAAATTCCAGGATGTGAACGAGTATGTCTTACAGTGGAGGTGATGAAAGGTTAAGCCTGTAATTAAAGAAACTGGGTATTCCAAACATACAAGAGCTGGTGTGTTAAAATGGTGCTCTAACTGTAAGTTTAAAAAGCCAAAGCTCTAACTTGTTCTTAGAAACAATGATCAGCACACATATATAAACTAAAACAGGTGCAGTGTGCCGCCTGCATGCACTCACGTGCAGCACAATGTGTGTGCGGTGTGCCGTCTGCATGTACTCACGTGCAGCACAATGTGTTTGCAGTGTGCCATCTGCATGCACTCACGTGCAGCACGATGTGTGTGTGCGGCACAATGTGTGTGTGCGGCGTGCCGTCTGCATGCACTCACGTGCAGCACAATGTGTGTGTGCGGTGTGCCGCCTGCATGCACTCACGTGCAGCACAATGTGTGGCGTGCCG